TCAAAGTATATGAAAAGTAACAATGTGGAAAAGGTGAATAATCCTACGTAATCTGGAGAGGGTTGACAATTCATTAGTTAAGTGATGAATGTTCATTTGAAAACACTAGATGATAAACGGATGAACGAAGAATTGAAAAAGCAAGTGTCCGGTAGAAAATTTTCTCTGGGCGTCTTCATGAATACCTGGCAGCATGATTATCTGAAGGAGACAGCAGCATATTCAACAGTTCACTTTTTCAGGAGCACATTCATAACTCTGGTCATGCAGCATCAACACAGACTTCATTCAGAGTCATATATGAATGGACACAGAGACTCTCAAAAGAATTTCAACTTCATAGTTTACATGCAGTCGCAGCTACACTTCATCCACAGATTTTCTTATTACTGTGGTCGAAGAGTCAACTTTGTTGTGCTGAATTGCTGTACAATAGACTTTGTGTGATCGTTTAATATTCTACTTTGATTTTTGTAACCCATTCTTGAATCGTCATTCTTCTTTTGTTTACTATCAATCAGTTGCATCCAAATAAGCATTCACAAGTTAACTGATTAGTTGTCAGCCCTATCAACTTGCTAGGGTTATACACTGTTTTTCACGCGGCAAACGGTGCTCCCTATAAGCATATAAACACACATAAATAAGTCAACTCTGAGTAAACCCACAAATAAAGCCGAGCGATGAAAACTGCCTAAATTTTAAAATGATTTTACCCCCTACCATCTTAAAATGTTAAATCAATCAGAAAACAGTTTTAGCATTAAAAATGTCTACACTTTCAAACATGTGTAGTATTTTGAGATGTATAATTTAGAATTGTGTGAGCAGAGTAGAATTTTAGAAAATTAAGCTTCACACCTAGTTAGCATAACTTATAGAATCTGTTTGCAAATTTTGATATTATAGGGAAAATTTGTAGCTCAGGTGGATGATTTTGATGTGGTTGTATTCTCTGAGCTGGATAGTTAATTTGCGAAGCTTTCATCGCCCCACACTAGGCAACATCTTCAGCGCATACTTCAATTCGATGAAGTGAGCTTTTAGATTTCTCCACGAGTTAATTAACCATCTCTCCTGGCGGCTAACCTTGGACGTGATTGGTTGTTTTTGTGTGTTTTCACACCTTCTACGTTACTTGTATTGGAGTTGATTGTTTCTTTGACTTGAACTTTGATTTTTTGTGTGTGTGAGGTTTCTTTCTTATCGGTTGATAAATTTTGTCAGTCTCGATGGGTCTACTGACTGATGATTCACTGGAATACCAGGTAGGCTCCTAAAAATTCTCTAGATGGCATTCTTGTTGTTTCCTCTGTCTAACATTCGAATGTTGTCCCAGTCGAATTGATGTCTATGGTTGTCTGTATGCAGTGATATGAGGGAGTAGATATCATGTATTTTGACGGCTAGCTTAGGTTTGTGGATACGAAGAAGAAGGGGACGTTCACTTTGGCCAATGTGGTGTTTTTCGCAGTTGTTACAATTTATTTTGTAGACGATGTCGGTTTTATCTTCGTTCGCTGCTGACTCTTTTGGTTGACATAGAACTGAGTGAAGTGAATTTGTTGGTTTGTGTGTTTGCAAAATGCTATGATAGCTGTACAATTTATTAATTTGATTTAGGATTGAAGAATTCAGTTGACACTGTGTATTAATAAGATGCAAATCGAAAAGGTAGGCCGTTTTTCTTCGCCAGTGATTTTTATAAGCGAAGAGACGTTCAATGAAGAGTCAAGCCTTTTCAGCGAAGATATCATTCTGAAGCGGTACGTGCGCATTCATATAGTACATTAGCATGCCAACAAAAAGAATTTTTCGGTAGGTATATTAGTCAAACTGTAAGCTTTAGATAACAATTAAGTAATACGAAAAACACTTGTGGTGAGAGCAGGCTGCTAGTCAATTGGAAGACATTAATTTACGTCAACGTCTGTGTCACTAATATTGGCCATGAAAAAATATGAACAAGAGTGAACCAACAACCAATCACAGCAGACTTAACGTGGGCAAATACGATTCGCAGATATATGGCTTAGCTTTCTGCGAAACCAGTCACAAGCAGTACAGAATAACCTCGAGCAAGAAACAACCAATCAGAAGACTGTGTTTGTCCGCTTGAATAAGCTACAATAATGTACATGAAATATATATAAATGCGTGCTGGTTTCCTTAATAAACGATCTGTTGCCTGGCCTTTGTCTTCTGTTGTTACACACTAATTGGTTTACAACAAAAATGAAATAATTAAACTTTGTGACAAAGTATATCTAACAGGATGAGTAGAGCTCACATAGATTTTTCTCATATAGATTTCTTTTCAGTAATGACCATCTCATCGCCTTTCTTATCTAAACCTCCTGTTTATCCATGTTATTTTTAGGTTTTTCTTAATCCATCAAGTGTCAGCCCGCTTCCCCCGATCATTTCATGCCTCTTCTCCACACCTTCTACACTCATTCAACCAGCCACTGACAAGCAGACAATTAATTTCTTAATCCCTGTTTACACTACCATATTTTCATCTCCGAACTTCGTGTTTATTTTTTCATTTTACTATTTCTACATATGTAATCCCTGATTGCATAAACAATTATTCATCACATTAGTTTCCCTTTTATCCATACATCCTGCCTATTTTTGTTATTTCCACATTTCTAACCGCCTATTGCGCAATATGTTAATCTTCTTAGTAATTATGATGCCACTTTGTTTGAGTCTTATCCGTCCCCCTGTTTATTATGGCATTTTAATTCCTGATTGCAATTTTTATTAATTTGACCCTTAACCGTAAATTATTCTGGAATTTCACCATCCATTTGATATAGATACACGAATGTACAGCTGTCTAGATGATGACTTCGTCGGAAAGAAAATTTTCTTCGCTGCAACTGTCTTTCTAATAATTCCTATGACCCATTGTGAATATCCCGTGATGAATTTTACTAAACTTTCTCGAATAAATCAGGGGGCTAATAGACAGGGAGTTGATGTAGTGAATGCCACCTGAAAGAAATGATACGTGACCTGAAGCCACTTAAATTTTATGTGAAGATCACTCACTAAATTCTATTTCAAGCTAATCTATTCGCACAACAGGAATATGTTGTCTGCGAATTAGATGTCAACAAAGTTATCTACCATATGACCAGTTTCATTCCATAGGAGTCACACAGTGAGATAATATTCTCATTTGGCGTTGGGTGAATATCCTGTAAACAACACCTGTATAACCAAGAATGTTCATCAGACTGTTTGCTGTGTATCTAAAACAGTTCAAAAGAGTACAGCAGTGCTCTCAAAACACATTCTGCTTCCGAAGAAACGACTCCAGAGAATATTTTGACTAGTCACTCACTGTAAATCTTAATGTCTGTTAAGATCCACGGTCACAAGGGGGAAGAATGCGCAAGAAACATCCTTTTCGAGTACTTACTCATCGTGTTCTACAGTTATGTATACCATGTAATCGAGGAGTAATTGCTAAACACTCATATCTTTTAAACAATATCGAGTTGTTAAAATAACCAGACCCCGTTTAAAAAGCATGTGTAAGTGGTACTATTTACGTACATAATATCAAATAAAATATCCTGAAAATTTAAGATGCAGAATAATGCAAAAATTAAAGGCAATTCAAAAGATAAAAAATATTAAATGACTTAGAAGGGAAGAAAAAAACTGTGACACCTTTATGAAATTAGGTCACATCCTGTTGTAATCTGTCGGCTGAACTAGAAAAAAAGGAGGAAAATGTCAGCAATCAGTTAACACGCCATAGAATCGCACCACTTGATTGATTTAACAATACTTTAAGAGTTGGTTTGTAAGGATTAAGTTTGCTTTTCGAGTTTGAGCATGGGTCAATTTCAGTTAGAAAACCATTGCAAACCAGTACATCAGTAGTGAATAGCTGTTTCACCCTAGTTCGGTAATCATTGATATTTGCACCCGGAAACTTCCAGTCTGAAGGCAAGCTCGTATACCGTTCAGCCACTAGGACCCAACTGAATGGCCTATGAATTCTAACTTCCACCAATTCGTGATTAAGCACGACCACCAACTGATGTGATCGTCGGGAATTCCATTCTCACATTCGACTGGAATGACCCAGTGGGTGCGTGCTGTCGATGATTCACAAACTGGAATGAAACAGCTGCCCAGTATTCCGTGGTTTTTAGCAGTGGTCAGATCCGGAAAAATTTCAGAAATTACAAATATGTCTCATATCAGAAGCACTTTATAATAAATGGAATCCAAATAATCTGAAAAGGAATAAGAACGACTACGACAGACTCTGACCTAGTTCCAACACCCACACACTCTCATGAATTGACAAAATCAACACAAATGTGATAATCAATTCGATTATGTAAACACATGCTGTTTCTATAGTTTCATACACTCATCTAATCCAACACTCCGCACACCGTTACTTATCTTCACAAGTTTAGAAACTTGATAACATAAAAACTACCTCATGCTGAAGAACTATGACTAGATCATTGTGTATAATCTGTGATTTTGTGAATTCTGGTTTAATACCACTTTGATAAAGCCATTAGGAGCATTAAGTAGCAGACGTCAGTGGAAGCAATATCGTCTTGTGTTTCATTCATTGGGAAATACAAGCCTTTCATGAATATAATGAATATATCACATAACCAATGCTCAAATGTTTACAGACTATTATTGGTCAAGTTGGTTTGGACATATATAAGAATATTCTTTCCTCAATCTCTCTGTCTTCTAAATGTCTAATTAGGAATTGAAACTTTTCCTGACATCACTATGGAAAGGGTGTTTCTCTACATCTACAACATTCTCTCATAATTATAAACTGGATATCCATTTTGTTGTATGGTAGCCATTATTCATATACATCATTTGAACTGTCTCTACGAAAGACCATGTGTCCTGCATTGTCAAAGATTTAGTAACGGTAATAATAATAATAAGAGTGACAATAATAGTAGTGAAAGTGATTCGATCTCACAACTTACCAAAATTTTCAACATTCTGTTTGTGGCGTAAAATCACTTAAAAATAAATCCATTAAAAGGTGCTCTACACTTAAAAATGGTTTTTTCTGAAGAAACTGGAAAACAGAACACAACTCCAATCACCAAGTTTTAATGTGGTAATTGATTTACGTGTGTGTGTGAGTGTGTGTCTGTGTGTGAGTCTGTGTTTGTAGTGAATCAATCAGATGCATTTTTGTTTAAAAATAAGGAATGTATTTTAGCGTCATCAAACTATTCATAAATGCATGCTATGCATGTGTGGTAAGCCTACGCATTGATCAGACTAAGTGAGTATATATGCATAGAAAGTTTAAACCTGTACTCAATGATATTTGAGAAAACTCTAATATACACGTTTAGAGCTGAAGGTATGACGTCTAAGGGCGCATGTGTTGACCCCAAATGTCTCCTTCAATTTTTAATCCACGAATTATGAAGCCTGAAATGAATCACAACATACATGTAGTTACAGTCTCTACACTTCTGCCTAACCCAAGTGTTGAGCATAGGCGGTTCCCAGATCTGCTGTTGTCCTTATTTTTCATAGTCATTTAATCAATATCTCACACTTTATATCTTAGAAACTTACCCCATAACAGTTATGTGTAACTGTGGGGATATAAACTGAAGACATACTGATCAGATTGTATTTTGAACTACAACATTTTAGCAGTGATAAGACACTTTAGAAACAAGCAGAAAATAACTACAGGAAATTAAAATTCACTGGCAAGTATGCAAATTATTATTACGTAAATAAATGTTTATTCCTTGTGCTCCTTGTGTGAAACATAAAAGTTCAGTGGCACATCTCCAATCCTCTCGAACGATTGTCAGCTATCACTTTCAGCTGGTCAGACTACTACCCACAAGCGCTTTCGTTCAATGTGTCCTCAGATAATCTTCTGAGTGTCATCATCTCACGCCCAACCCATCACTGCTGATTCAAGTTCTGAATGAAGGTCAGAGTAGTGTGTAGTGTAACTTGAATGTTTCTTCCGTGTATGTACACTCCATCACCATTTTTTCGTACATGTTTGTTATGTTGTAGGTTGTTGGCTGATTTTCTGTCAAAATTACTTTTTGACTATCGTGTATTCCTTAAGTATTTTCAGTAATGTATCAAGTCTATTTAAATTAGAAAATAGAAAAGAACAAACTCGACAATAATGGCCAGCAACAAAGAACTCTATTAGATGCCAACTCAGACAAAAACCTAGTGCTCAACAAAAGTGAAGCAATAAGATATCGATTAAACAGACTGCAGAGACATCCATACCATCAAATGAAACCCTGGTTTGAAGTAATGAGATCATTTGAGGTGTGAACATAAGCTTTTGGTGGTCATAGAGACAGGTGAAAGTAGAAACACATAACTAAGTAGAATGGTCACATGCCTCTGGAGCCCAATGTTCCACTTGAAAAGCAGAGAACAAAGAATGCACAAAACTAATACAGTGCCTAAAATATTAAAGTAAAAGTACCCCAGGAAAAAGTGAGAATATTGCATATTACTGGAATTACACGAGTGTCGACAAAAAATACATTTTAACTTGTGCGACGCATGCACACTATTTTCCCGACAAATTCAGAGCATTCTCTGTTCACACTGTAGATCTTGATGTGTCAAAGTAATACGTTAGGGGTGAAAATCGCAGAGAGGTGAGGAAAGAGAGTGACGGAATCAACAGTGTGTGAATAGTTCTCACTTTGAGAAGTGGATTACAAAGCCATCTCTAGTGTAATAATAAATAATTGTTCGAATACATCGATCAGATTAAGGTGATTTCATAGCTAAGGCTTCGACAAGTTCATTCATAATAACTAACCTGTTTCGTTTGATTCATTTAAATACACTAATAATGTAAGCTTCATGACTAGACACTAATAGACGTGAGGTGGCAGAAGACCAATTTCATCTTTTTCCAGGTTACTGAGTAGGGATGTCAAACTGAAAGTCATCTAGTTACTCACATGGTATGTGACAAAACTGCTAATAAGCTACCAAGATACGTAAACCTTCGCATTTTTCACTGTATTGTTTCTACTATTTGCACCCTTTACCTTCATCTGATTGATTAACGGTTCTGTTCGATGAATTTCAAGTTTGTTTTCATCACAGATGGATATTAGAAGCGTCTGCTGAATAGCAGTTTCATAGACTTTGTAGAGTGTTTCCGATAATATATTCATCAGTTCTTTCTATTATTAAACGAAACATCTACTTTGAAAACATCTTCCATTTGTAAGTAAGAACACAGAAGTCGTCAATCAGATCTCTTTTTGTGACTTTACTACAAAGAGCTATTGCAATTTGGGGGCTTCTATATACAGCGTTAAGTGACAACAAAGGTCAGAGGTTGTTTTCAAAAAGGTAAATCAATTCTTGAGCAGGTTGTAAATTTTAATCACACAAACTTATCAGAGGCTTCATTTAGAGTCATAAATAAACCAAAAATAAGCCTTTCTAAAGAATTTTACTTACACCTGTTTCATGCAACCGAGATTCTCACAATTCACATCGAGAAACCGGAGCTTTACAACTAAAAACATCCTACCATGTCTCTAGTAGCAATTTTGTTTAACTGAATTGTTGTATAATGAAATCTGTGTAGTCCATCCAACTATTATCTTATTGCAGTTCAGCTTCAATTCTATGTTGTCTTGTTTCCAATAGATTCATTCGGAATGGTAGTTATTATGCTAACGTGTATGTTTTCAGTTGCATCACATGACAATTATCCAGTTGACTATGACGTGAGGGACTATTTATCTCCGGAAAAGACAACGAAAGGAGTTCATTTACAAAGATTGTGAATGCTTATCCTTTTCTGCAGAAATGTATTTTCGGTGTTTAACAATGACTACACCTGTTTCATTCAACTTTGTGTTTTCAATACACTCTAAGAGTTTCGCGCATACGTGAAAAGAAGATCTGAAAATATAAGAAGAAAACAGTTGTGGATTCTTTTCAGATTTTTATAACATAAACAATATTAGAATATATAAATCACAAAGTGGGGTGTGAAGAAGCTTTTATCGTTCTGAGTTATTGACTGGGGGGCCATAAGTAACAGTAGCTCAGAATTATGTAAACACTTAAATTATTTGAGTTTGTGCATGATTCAGTAAAAGTCCTATGTCTTACTGAAAAGGTTGGAGCATCCAAAGGACAGGTTCAAAACCATAAGAAATGCCCATCTACTGGACTTCACTACTGGTCATCATCCACCGTAATAACATGATGCAAAAGAATATTTTTTGCCAGTGAAACTTATTTTGTTTATTTACCATCACATGCTTACTTATTCTTCGTCACAAGTTATCGAACTCATTTTATTTGATGTACTGAACAATGAACAATTTCGCCCCCTCTTAGCATCATGCGTCACATACCTGTCTGTGTGCAAGAAAATTCAAAGAAAAGCTTGGTGACATTTTCATTTTTCTCTTCTTTAATTGTATAACTGAAAGTGACAACAGACGTTATATCTGCATTGTTTTATGTCGTCAGTGAAACGCACTTGGTTGTTTCCGCTGTATTAAGAAAGAAACACGTGACGCTGTGAAATAATGTAAATCAATTGAAAATAAAGATAAACTTTTAATGGAATGTAAAGATTAGATAGTCAAAACGAAATTACGAGCGCAAAACAGTTGCAAGTATCAATCGCTATCAAACAGGTGAGATTTGAAGGAGGTCACTTCATACGGCCATCTAGGTAGCATAGTTTCAACTGCAGGCGACTTCATGCATGAAGACGTCAGATCCAGTCAGACTCAGAAGAGTAAAGCAGACCTGCATTGATCTGCAATCAGTCTGGAAGTCTACTACATCAAGTGTAATGAACGAGTTTCGGATTATCAAGACTACTGTCAAATAAGTCAGTGACTTCATATGATTCGGAGGCTGGAGATTATGTGGTCAATCAGAAGGGATAAGCAACGGGGGAATCTGTGAACGAAATAAACAAGAACATGCAGCTCGATGAATATTCGGAATAAAATGGAGAATAATCGGACATAAGTTGAGAAGAGTTTTGAGTGATATTACGCGTATGACCCTTGAGAGGAGCCTAAGTGGAAAACGCTGAGTTCGGCGTTGCTTTGAGAATTATTTGAAAGAGATAGTGTGGGGAAGAAATGACAGCTTATGGGCGATTGTGGAACTAGCTGAAGGGGGCTGTGATGAACAGGACAAAACGGAGATTAGCTGTTGAATCTCTATGTCCCACCCAAAACTCAAGGAAATAATAAATGATGATGACGATAATGTAATGATTCTACTTTTCATAATTCACTTCTCAACATTGAATCACTAAGAGTCAATGTTTAGGGCAAGAATGACCTGATAGAATCGATGTCATTGCAATCGACTGAGTTATATTAATGCTTTTACGGATATCATTAAAGTTTTCTAGTAAATAGGATGCACAAGATATATCACCACATACAACGTATCCATCATAAACCTGCCTAGTGTATACGGTCATTTCTTCGGTTGTATCTTTCGGTGAATTACTCTACGGATCTACCATGAATAACACAGAACAACAAAGTTGAGACCTCTTAATGTTTGCAGGAGCCATCTTTAACAAATTTAATTGCAAATTCAAGAAGAAGTTGTCGTGGGTCTTTCGTTAACTTGATAACTCAACTTTTAATCTGTATTGATTATGTAATCTAGTCTAAAGTGTACATGCTGATTGCCTTTCAGGCTTACTAAGTCAAGCCATCGTTCAATAAACGTCAAGCTTCATATGTCTTATAGCTAACGAAAGGAGCTTAACTCACAGCACATATATTCGTGTTATTTCTTCACTAACAGTATTCTAGTGACTTGTGAATCCTTATAATTTACACACACACATCAATATCTTATCGCTCTCCACTTTCTGTTTTATTCCAAAGTCGTCTTTTACATTGCATGTATCAGTACTAAGATAATTGATCAGAGAACCACTAAAAGACGAATAAGTACTGCAAAACTGTTTCACCCTAGTTTGAGACTGCTCATCACTGCGTACTCGCCGGGGTTCAAACCCAGAGTCCTCTGGTCTCTAACTAAGACGAAACAGTTGTTGACTTTCATCATTCGGATGGTATGACATTAGGAACATATCGACAAAATAAGCAGAGGATTCGTTTTATCCTGCTCTATTTGCTTGGTTATTTCCCTTATGAAGTACTCATTTCTAGTCAGTCTCTTCCTTCAGAAAAGAGATCTCAGTGTTCAACAAATCTAATTTACAGATTTCACTGGAACTAATAGTGAAGGATATAAACGAATTATTTTTAAACTCATGAATAGACAAGTGCGAATTTTTATCAACTGACCACTATATATAGGCATGTTGTGCACTGTTACTGCAATTTTTGTCCATAAGTCTTCATTGTCGGCAGTATATCAGTAGAAGAAATGTTATGTCTGATTTCTATTTCAAACGTAGATTTGGCGGATGGGTGACAGTTGGTAGAAGCTCGATGAAATGGATTTTAGTCGCATTTGTTATCACAGGCAATAAAGTGTTTTGTGCGGCTTTTCTTTATCTAGTAGAAGCTGACTTCAGTGGAATCTCTCACAAAGTAGTATAGAAGTAATTGTTTCCAGCGGTTGTCTTATGACTGCTCCGTTATATGTAAATTGAACATATAATGATGGTTTAATTTCATAAGTTCCATGTATTCTATACTCAGTCACCTCTGAGCATCAGATTAATTTTCAAGTGTTGCTTTTCATAGATTTATTAAAACGGGTATCGGCTGGCGATGGCGTTATATATTGAGATATAGCAGAGGTTAGAATTCATAGGCCGACCGCGAGACTGCATACCAGTGTATGAATGTTTGATGGTTTCACCTTACAAGCTAAAGATCCTGAGTGCCATCCCTATCAACGAGGTCGTGGGTACATTCCGATGATCAGTGCCGAATTAAGGCAAAACAGCCGTCAGTTACCACTTGCTTTTCAAAGAATTTTGGTTAGTGCCAGTTCGTGATCTAACCTGAAATCAGATCAGTCCTTGGCTTAATTACGCAACAAAACAGAACGCAACAGAACAGTTTCGTATGTGGTAGTAAGACCCTAGTTGTACATGTTGTTATCTACATTGGTTAACCTTACGCGGGCAGTTGTGTTGGTACCCCACTAACTGAATCTCATATATTATTAAAAATCTACTGGTGTCGAACCCTCATTCTATCTGTATTACTAGATGTATCGTGTCGGCGGTAACTTACAAGTATTTTGAGACAGAGACACTTCACTGCTGACGGTGTCCATCTGCACATGCAGAGGAAGGAGAGACTAAAATCCTGAACTAAGTCGTGTGTTCTTCAGTGGAATGAGTTCGTTTGAAGACAGAATATTGCAAGGTATAAATTACAATATGCTGATGACTTTGATGACTTATGTCCCAAAACCACGTCCTCAGTTGATGATCAAATAAACAATACGGTGGCATTGTGTGGTATAACCCATGAGTGTGTCAACTGGGAATATCAGGATTTGCATAGTGAATCATAAAATACTTCTGATCTCTCATCAGTCATAAACATCGATAGCAATTAAACAGCTAACTGATCATAACGTGCTTTCAGGTTATTTAATATATGAAGCGCTATTACACAGATGAGATTGAAGAACGGTCGCATTTTATCCTCTATTAAATGAATCACCTGATTCCTCAACCAAGTTACTGTACAGCAATATGGTTGAAAAACACTATTTATGAATGTTATACCACTATGGTGAAATGGCTTTCTAATACTTCGATGTCATTTTGGGTGGTATCAGCCAGCACAGAGAATCTCGTTTCATAATCAAGTTAAATGATTTTCTGTCCCAATAACTGGTTAATGCATTTTTGAAAATTGAAAACCTCAGTGGTAAAAATGAAAGGCAAATACAGTTGAACAGTCAGTCATAAGTTCCTCTAGAAGAAGTTATGAGTTGAACAAAACACTTATTCCACACATTTGTTGTTCCTCTTATATACAAACGATATCTCATCATTACTGTTGTGTTCCGTGCTGGAAAAATCTGTACAACCAACACTTTGGACGACGAAGTAATAACAACGAAAAACTCACTGTATGAAAATGTTCATCTAAAAAAGTACACGAATGTTTCAATGATAAGATCGGAAAAAGAGAAATGCTTGCGAACAGTGCAGAAGAAATATATATATATATATATATTATTATTAAATTAATGGCAACCAAACCCAAAAACGATGTCTAAATATTCTTTGCCACAACACTATGCCTAAATTCCAATACTCATTGTGTGTTCCAGTGCAGGTGATGCATAGGCTACCATGTCTGGCAAATGTAGTGTGCGTTTATAAATTTAACTTCTCTTGATGGGAGAGTAACATAGGTAGAACGACTCAGCAGGCCTACGATCACCTTCTTGAGTAGTATTCATTTTGGTTAGGAAAAGGAATCTAAGGGTCTGCCAGCAGCTCAATTTTGGTACACCTAGTGGGCACTGAGAGAAAAAGGGGCAACAGTTTTACACACACATATATATATTATGTCGTGTACTTGTATGAATACTGAAATCCGACGCATTGCGTTTTTCTGAATTTAATGGAAAACTACATTCATTCAACCATGAACCTTTTCCGAAAGGTTTCAGTGGTTTAAAGAGTTTGGATGTAAACTAGGTAGAAGTCCTCTAGATGATGCTGCTGCTTTACATCATAATATAGATTCCTACTTCGACAAAGAAGCCGTATATGTTCAATGTACCTTCCTAATCTACACATCGACTTTCGACTATGTACCAGGATGTATTTTGCTAAATAAGCTTTCCTTAACAAAACTGAGTCCCATGCACATAAATGGTCGCATTACTATTCCTCGAAAAAAAAGCAGTATGCTGTACATAAACGCGAACCATCCTCTGTCTTGATTACGTAAGCTACAGTCCATCAGCTTGTTGTTCTATCTTCTTCAATTAACGTATGCATTTAGCTATTAACATTATTATTTTTTTTGATTACAGCTTGATTCCACACCGTAATTTTTGGTACAGGTTATATCGGTAGCCCAAATTTTCCAGGCCGACCATAGATATCAGGTGTGCGTTGGCAGTGGATCGAACTCCGGACCATGTGCATGATCGGCAGGAATCCTAACCACTGTGCCACCGACGCATATTATTATAATGCTTTCGGACCTTTATTACATTTCTGACTTTATAGTCACTGGTAATCTAAAAATGTTGCTCTTATCAATTTTGGTTATCTGTGCACTGTTTTACACTTTTGGTTTGGATTTTCTTGTTGTTTTTGTTGTTGATGTTGTTGAGCGAATTATATGTGATATCGTAACAATTGCTGAGAATTCCATGCTGTATCATAAGTACTGTTTTGCGATGAAGCAAATAATTACGGATGTGTGTACATATCAGCTAAGTAGTCTTTACCAGAATCTGCAAGCATGACTTGTCCAAGGGTAACTATGAATCGCAATGAAATATCACACATAGAAGTTCTTCTAGAACATAACTGCAGCGAAGAATTCCTGAAGATGGAATCAGTGCATGCCGCCTTAAAAGTTATCATTGTAGGAGTTGAAACCGTGCGTAGAGACTGGGTGAGATCGAATTCACAGTTTAAATCACAGATTATATGGATGGGTTGATCAACTAATTCTACGGCTGTTCATCTTATTAAAAAAACATGCTGATATGTAGAACTACTTATTCGAACTCAGGTTCATCTCTAAATAAAGACCATTTCCACAGTTTCCATGATGAATACATAACTAAGGTGAAAAGTTGTTTGAAAAACTGAGGTTAAATAAAGTTTATTCAAACAGATCAAATTACATTTAATTTATCGGAAAAGAAAAGAGACATTCACGAATTACATGAAGCAGAATAGTTAAGCATATTTATTGTAGAATAGCGTCCAAACTGTTATTATACTTCGGCATGCATATAGCATTTATTTATTTTGTTGTCCATTAGTGATCATAAAAATACACTCTGGGATCATGATCAAAGCTTCTGTGCTTATTTCGTCTATCAAAGGCAGTGGAAGAAATAACATCGACGACTGCAGCATTCCCATCTGTATAAGCAAGTCTCATTGGTACTTCGACATTTGGTGCATACACCTTTGTGTGGTATACCGTTCGATCGACATTCGTATGGCTGAGAACATAATTCATCGGTAAATCGACATTCCTTTCCATAGTGTATGCACGTTGCTGCAATAAAAAGTATCGGGTAATTATTGGACATTCACTTTAAATACAGAAATGAGGTCCATTTCAAAGTCAAATAACAGAAATAATAATGGGAATGAAATAATCTTGAGTAATGTTTCCTGAATTACTTGGACACATCTGACTGATCAAGGTGGAAAGGCCGTAACATTTATGATGTGAAGTAGCGATATTGGAGTTATTAAAGTACTCTTATACAAATCTAGATGCCACGTAGGTGACCGAAGATGGAATGCTTAGTTTGACCAAGGTTTAACTGAATGCAATAACTTATTTTCAGTTTCATTGTGAAATAACGGATCGTGTCAATAGAATTATCTCATATCCCGAATAATTACTTAGTAATGTCTGTTGTGAGGTTGTTTTGAATGGACAAAGACTAGTGCCTATGAATGCATGGTCTCCGAATAGTCATCAATATGCATAAATATAAGTAGAACCCTGACGAAATATCTTTTTCTAAAGCCAACTAAACTTTATTTCGATTACCAATGTCCTGTCACTGCCAAACAATTTCATCACTTCATTCCGAAATGGTAGGCACCGTCGAAGATGACCTCTTAATAGAACTGCACTTGGTAACAACTAGTGAGAAGGAGACTGAAACTCAAGCTACGACGAAATAGCTGTCCAGTCCTCCCTGAGGTTTCCTCCAACTCAGGTGAGTTTGTGACAAAATCTACACTCACCTCATTTCAGATCCATTCGAAATTCAAAATCTGAATACTAATCTCCTTCCTTTTAAAAGGTACTGGATGACTGTCTTGAAATTCAGGTGACTTCCACATGTCACAGCTAAGCGAATGTTCGGTAGTGGCGTTGGTTGGCGGTAGACTTAAACCGTGAATTGACAAAAGCTGGAATTCCTGCATGCTTGAATTCCAATCAAGTTGGTAATTGGCCAACGGATTGACCTCGCAACCAGGATGGTCTAGGTTTGACTGTTTATGGCGTCATGGAAAAACATACCTCTGTGCATTCCTAGACCAGGATGAAGCAATTACCTAGTACTCACAATCTAGATTTCACTAAGTGATGTTGACTTGTGATGGGGTGCATGTTGAAATTAATGAAAAACCTCACAAAATCTAAATTAATTCTACAATCGCTTGAGCAATGTTTGTACTATCATTACTCAATAAATTTATATCTAGACATTACTAATAAATGCTAGTGGACACAGATAGATTCATGAAGATCAACTTCAGCCATATGACACCATCTGCATTGCAACACAGTACTCAGCCGCCTTCATAGATCACTACATATCAAGTACAGACGGCACATTATGCATCACCGTTTAAAAAGTGAATGGTGTATATTGATTTTTAAACTAAAAGTGAAGGTGAGATTGACATGTAAGTTACTTATTTCCGACTAAGCAGTAAAATACAACTTAGTAACCAGAGTGAGTATGATAATGGCCACCTAATAAAGTTAGCGTGAACCTCACCGTTTACTTTGTTGACGACAGTTTTGTCAACTTAAATGAGTCAGTTATTCTCTCATTTGTGCAACAGTATTCTGTGTGTAAGTTCAATCTCTTATGATGCTTCACTCGAATTCTCTAGGGAGCCAAGATTCTAGTCTGTCTATTATTCATTTCGTATTCTTATATCCCACAAAGTACTGAAGAAGCACATACTCTCAATAGGAACATGAGGTTTCAAGCTTCGAATTTGCTGTAATTGTGGCGGTGGTAGTAGCAGTGGTATTTTTAGAGTGAGAGATTTCAAACCTCATGCCCAACTTCACCATTTTTCTTGACTTAATTATGGCTAATCATCTAGGCAAGATATAGGAATGTGTCGGCTAGAATTCAAACCCAAACCTCACTCATGGTTGGTGAGCATTCTACCAGTACACTACTAACTCACACTGGCTTGGGAAATTGATTATTATCACTATTTTAAGAATCACCATTCTCCGGTCATAATTTCCACTGATTTCCGAATTCATATTCGCCACCACTCTTCTTATTTCAATGGTGATGTTTTCATTACTCAGATTAATTATTGTGACAGAAGGAGAATTCAAAGTATGTTTTGAGTACAAATTAATGCATGCATTTGTGGGTTATACCGATGTATTCAATTTGTATAACCCGTGATGTTTGGTAAACTAATGAACATGTGAAAACTATGAAGTCTCATCAGTTGCAGATACTGTTAACTAGAAGTACCAGTTAGCGGAGCAGTTTAAAGCTTTAACTAAGTGTTGCTATTTAAGAGTGATAGCAATACACAGACATACTACAAAACGTCTTCTAACAGTGTGTGTACCACAGGTGATATTCGTTTTCGTGGAGACGCCGGAATATGTAGTCAGAGTACAAACAGTGTAAATGTTCCACTTGTATCTTCGAGTTGCCGGCTGAATGCTGTTCTCTCTTGCAGAAACGCATATCTGAAGACGCTGAAGACACTTTCAATGAACAAATGCAAATGTCTCTTTTAATCTTGATGACACCGCGTAGATTCTTTAGACTTTGAATAAAGAAAGACGGAACAAAGGGATTCAGTGAAACACCTGCGTTCATCTCAGTTCTCTCAAATCTCTTTCATTCGAACAACAACTGCTCACCAGCTTTTACTTCTGATTAATTTGATCTTCTTCATGTTATCTTCGGACGTCTAACCTATTGTTCCCCATTCGAGTTCGACTTGCTTACCTGACGTGTGATGTTACTCAATAATCTCCCAAACCAATGTTGAATCTACCTGTTTATTTCCTTCTGCATACTTGTCAAGTGGTAGGTTGTTCCATGAAGCTCTACCTGCTTGAGTTACTTTCTGCTTAGCTTTTCTGGATGGTCATCTCACCTTTATTGTGGGTCGATGACAGGTGTTTGTCAGTGTCAACAGGCTTTTGGAAACACCTAGAACCATTTATAAGTTCTGAATCGACATTAATGATGAGAACTCTAATCTTGTTTTCTGTGCTCAGTCCCATTATTCTTCATATTGACTTCGTAGTAATCAACGTCTCTCTTGCAGTCTCTTTCCCGTCTCAGCTATCTGTGACAACCCCATTCACGCGGCCACATATAGTTCAAATATTACAACTAAGACAAATAGATGAAATGACTTCATTCAGGTATTTTGCTTTGGCGATGATGAATATTTGGTGTTACCGTTCGGTCATTTCCTCCATGAATTTACATGAATTCCTGTCTCTACTGCCTGTCCTATCCGACAACTTGTCGTAACATTTTCAGGTTAGTTGCTGATTAGCATTTGCTTATTCGGTAATCCATATGTAAAAACGTTAAAATATTTGAGAAACGAGTGAAAACAAACCCAGTACTCGTGACGAAGATAAGTAGGTTTTCCGGTTTGGGACAGAAGCATAAGGATATGGAGTAAACCATATAATGCATTGAATTTAAGTGTGGTTAAAAATAATCGATGCATACTATGATACACGTGAACATTTCAAACAAAATATGTTAGAGGGACTTACATAATTCATGACAGGCTACGAGAGTTATCAAGACTGAGATTGTCGTCAACCAAAAGATTGAATGAGTATAGTACATAATTTTATTTATGCTAAATGATGTATAAATAGTGCTTCATCGAGGAGAAATATACACACACACCTAAAGCGCTTGTGACAACACCATTAATTCATTGTGAAATTTGAGACAATGTTTGCACTCTTACTATCCACCAATGTGGCAACCAATTGGGTGTCAAGTAAATTAAACCATACATTTGCTCACATCGAAACGTATTCAGTTTCGAGAAATCATTGAAATTTCATATCACTGTGATGTGGAAATGGATTGGTGCAGTAGAATTGTAAGTGAAGATAGTATGAATACACGAATAAATATCGCATTCTAAAATATTTTTTGTAATGAGATAATATTAGGAAGTGTGGATAATCATGGGTGTTTAGATTTCGATATTAACTATGCAGAAATGTTCACCAAAACGAACGAAAACAAGTCCATCAATAGTTACAATTCGATATGAACAGGCATGACACCAGCTACTAACTAGTGTTCAATCAAAGTATAGTTTACAGTTCTGAACGATGTCACTCCCGGGCCCGAATAGCTCAGTGGTGACGCCTATGTGTGCGGCTCTAGAATGACCTGGTTTTGAGACATGAATGTCTACAAGAATACAGATATGCCTTGATAATGGCTGCCTACAAACACGAAACATAAGTGTAAGACCTACTGAGGATCACCCTCGACAAATGAAAGAAAGATAGGCATATTCTGGCGATAGAAGAAGATGTAGTAAAGAAATGTTTATTGGAAATTCAGCATTTCTATATAGCGAAATTGTGTACACCTTAACTTCAACGCAACATTTGCGCAGATCCTACGTGTTGCGCTGATTCTCGCCCTCCTTCATATTGTGTTTCTTTGTGTTCCTTTCAAATCTCACTTGTATCTCCACAACTCTCTATCATTTGCTTTCTCTGACATCAAATCTACCTCATCGCTATTTGATAATTTGCGTCAATTCACATCTCTTCATATACTGTTGATAAATCTTATCGGTAGCACATGACACATTATCACTTATGCAAATATAGTTCATTCGGGCACTGGTATGCATCATTCTGAAGTAAACTATAGAGAAGGTTTCTCTAGAAAGACAATGAAAGCTTCGGAATTCACTCATTGCTTATGCCACAGAACGGAATAACACTTAGATCAATTTAACACCCTGCGAATAGAGTATGCTTACGCATTTCGGAAAATGGAATGTCGAATTTATTGAAATGAATGAAACAGATGTCGATTCTGTTTCATTACGGATGTTCAACTCTCGGTTGAGTATATATATAACGGAATTCAAACGAATTATCTCTTTTCAGCAAACCTACTGAAGGTTGTTAAGAGTCTATTGTCAATAAACCCTGTCTCATTATCGACGTATTGGAAATAATTCAGACTATTGATGCTGATAAATTAGTTAATGTTACTCGTCTGCTCAAATAGTACTTAGCAGATGGATTGCTCAAATGTTTTATGGTTGCATTCACTTGGTGTTTAACAAAATAACTTTTAATTCGTTTCAAGTTGAAGCCAGTTACAAAATCTCCAAAAGACAGTGGGCATTCGACAGTTCTTTCATCCCACTTCGAGAATATTCAGAAGCACTCAACCATGACTCTAGTGACATGGATCAAACCTAAGACCTGCAGATGACACGGAAAGATTGTTGACCATCCACAGGCTGCAACAGAATTCATTAACTGATGAATTCCAACTCCTGTTGCATCCGAATTGCATCAGAACTGATAGTCGATGTCATCGGTGAGTATTTGTTCTATAATTTAATTGATTGCCCATTAAATGTCACCAGAACTCAAGGCAACCTGTCTGAATGTGTATTCACGAGTGAGGATAGGATAGACATGGAGAATTGACAAAAACGAGAATTCTCAGTCTGGTCAATGAATTCTATACCAGTGGACGAATCATCAACCACATCGCCTCACAACGTGCACGTCCTGTATTCGTTCCATAGCTGGGTGGTAATGGTTGCGTCCTGTCGAAGAGTCATTTAATACGATGCAAACGTTGTTTAGTACAACCTGAATACCAGATGTTCTCCAACAGAAGACACTTCGTCATCCAACTTGAAACTAATCAAATTCCTGTCAACCAACACTCAAAAATGTCAAATTATTTTGATATTAACATCTTCAATTTTGTGAAGTTAGGCGTAACAATTACAATGGCTCATTTTTACAATGATGATGAATATACCGGGCATAGTAGAAATGTAAATGTCGGTGATGAACAATGAATACGTGTCATTAATGCATCAGTTAATCTGACGAGAAATTCAACTTCTCCTTCGACGATTTCGTAATTCTGTCTTATTAAAGATGCGGTGTTCAAGTCACCATGAACATGTATTAGAGAATGGTGCACAGTGCGACAAAAGCCATCGACAACATCTTAATCAAGTTAGAATTCATTCAGGAATTCAAGTACCATGTGACTGATATGGCTGAAACAGAGATCAGCACTGAGCAAGACCGAATGTACACAGATGCAGTAAGAAGTAGTTTTCAGATAGAATCATATTCGTAGGAATACATCAGTCTCGAAACGCAGGTGCTAGCCGAATATAAAGAGAATAAAAACATGCGTAGTCATGACTAAATATTCGTGCCCTGTGAAGTTCCACAAAGGGTGAGATTTCTTCTACTAATGATATTAGGCTGCAGAAACCATGAAATCAAATCTCATAAACTCCGCCATGTGAACGGAAACTCAAGGCACCACTTATTTCTAATCATCACGCATATTTTCTCTCTTGAAGTACGCACAGCTAGACAATAACTTCAAAAATACTAATAAGAACCACATTCAACACCTGGCTATATGTCATCGACGCGTGTCAGGTGTTCCACAACGAAAAACTCAGCTAACTGTTTGAAATGAATAGGAAAATAATACAATAATGCCTACTATCACCGATGATATTCGTAATTGTGGTGGAATTCACTGTGTGTAAGATTGCGGGAGCGAGAGGACGGGTGTACGCTGGATTTATAAGGAGACTGTAGTAAATCTGGATTCCACACATGATTCATGTCTAATGTCACACAAAATCAAAGCGTGGAGTCAGGCGGAAACCAACAAACTGGTTGACGAAGCTGGCAGAGAAGACAGGAAGGACTCCAGATGAACACAAAGTAGTGAATAAGTGAGGAAGATAACCAACGGAATACATTTCAAGCAAGACAACTCCTTCACTTAACTAGCCAACATATCTACAAATAGAGGTGGAATGCATGAACAGATCAACACCAGAAACGCAAAGACAAGCCAACACTTCTCCACACTGAGATAATTCGCTTGCGCTAAATTGACTGGATAATGCGACAGACAACGGCAACCAACGAGGGAACAGGCATAAAATGGACTGACACAAAAGACTTGGAGGATCTGGATTTCGCCGATGATATATGTCTGATTTCCCATAAACTGGAAGATATGCAAGTGAAAAGTAACAAGTCGGCAGAAGAAGCATCAAAGATAGGACTTCAAGTGAACATAGATAAAACAGAGGTGATGAAGATTCCTAGCCAACATCAACAGCAGCAACAACAACAGACGACAATCAGCATAAGTGGGAAGAACCTGAAAGAAACAACCTTCTTCACCTACCTGGGAAGCTTCGTCTCAACTACAGGCACACGGAACTAACGAGGAAATCAAAGCCAGAATCGGAAAAGCAAGACAAGCTTTCATTGCTCTCAAATCTGTGTGGAGGTCAACAGCTCCACTCAGCATCAAAAATAAGATCCGGATTTTCAACTCCAATGTAAAGTCAGTGCTACTATACGGATCAGAGACTTGGCGAGTCATAAAGAGCATCTCAAACAAACTTCAGACCTTCATAAACAGCTGTCTCCGCTCAATACTCAAGATCAGATGGCCAGAAAAGATTAGCAACAGGGATCTCTGGGAGCGAACCAATCAGGAACCGATTGTGAAACAAATAGGCAGAAAGAAATGGAGATGGATTGGCCATACGTTGAGGAAACCATCAAGTGACATCACTAGACAAGCCCTCGAGTGGAACCCGAAAGGGAGGCGGCGAGTTGGTCGTCAGTGCAAGGGTGACTTGGAGGAGGTCATGCGAGGAGGAGATGAAAGCATGTGGACAGACCTGGAGCAGGGTGAAAAAGTTGTCAGAAAACCGAAGGCAATGGAGGTGCTCAGCTGAAGCCCTATGTTCCTCCAGGAACTAAAGGATACAATAATAATACAATAATAATTCCAAAATCGAATGCCAACTGAGTCAAGTCTTACATGTGGTTCGGAGAATTGACGTGTCCATCATCGACAGAAATTCAGAAAAGACCGCAGACTTCAATAGATATAAAGTCGACAGAAATAACTTGCAACACGAAGCTCTGGCAGTAAACCAGTGAGGAACATATCGCTCAACATGTATTTGGAGGAAAGTCGAAATGGATTAACCACACACTGAGGAGACTGTCGAATGACATTGCGGACAATCCAAGCCATCACACGATTGGAACTCGAATAGAAAACACTGGGTGAAGGTTGAGAGTATGATACGAAGGACGTCGAGCGAGGAAAATACCGAAGATTTCAGGCTATCGTGAGGCCAGGTAGAGAGAAGCAGAGAGAGTAGAAGAAAAGGAGTGGGTGTTGCGGGAACCATTTGTTCAGGCCGGGACACAAGAGGACATTATTAAGAGTGAGAATAAAGAGGAAACAACGATTTCATTAAAACTTAAGTTAATTACAAGCAGTCTCACTCCGAAGAAATCAAATTATCCCTCTTTCGATATATGCATACTTCATCATACACAATTACGTGCACTCTCTTGCAGATTACTGATTCTGCTTCCAACGGATTGTTTCTCAACTCGAACTCCAACATCCACAAAACAATCTCACGTACAGAGTGTTGCGCTGTCAGTACGAGGAAAATATACTCTCATCCATCGGCTCA